CGTCGAAACGTTAGCTGGATTAGCAGCTCATATCAGCCTCGTACAAGCCCAACAATATGAACAAATGTTCACTTAAGATACTTAAGTGGGTCAACTCTCACGTTTTCCGGAAAGGAGAAGAGTTTCATCATTGGTTGTGCAATAGTACTACTACTCACCAAAAATGCTCTTCAATAATTTATTCCACGCAAATTCTTTAGGCCACCACTTTTCAGAGCAGACATTGCATGGCGCATAGGCTTTGTTGTGGAAGGAAGATTTCGTCGTATTCAATACGGCAATATTATTCACATGCTGTTGTAGATTTCTGCTACAAAAACTGTTACTATCCATGGTGCAGTAACCTGGATACTTAACGATTATGCGCACATCACAATCCTTGTATTACCGTTCCTCAGAGGTGTTCAATCGCTTACTTTAAACAGTAAGCAGCGTGAAATGGGCCCGTGGGTTACCGTCCTCGATGCATTTCGCGACTACGGTGAGTTTCTGAATTTGTCACTCAATCCCTGCATCTAGTTTGATGCGAGAATCAAACGGTTTGAACTCGGCTTTAACATCGCCTCTGAATGAACTGGTAGGACGACTTATGAAAGGAATGGCTGGCGAAACAAAAATTGTTTCAGATCCCGTCGTGGTGCTAACTTGAGAATACCCTAAAAGCTTATGTCAGGACTGCAGGAAAGACCAAACTGCCTAAGCAGAAATATACAATCGTCGGTATTCCACACACCGGGTGCTTCCTTCTATGACAGGAGATGAGGCGACCGATAAAACGTGACTAAATCCTTTGGCTACGCAAGATGACGTCATCGTAACAGGAAACGTATCAAATTTCTTGTAATGAGCGAAGCTTGGACAGTGGGAACGTGAGACAGCGCTTAAAGAGAGATTCTAAAAGTTTCTCAGCTAGCACAATCTGATAGAGCTATATCCACAAAAGTTCGTGAAGTTTATGTAATAGCTTACGCAGAAAGTACATATGGAAGGGCGCAGCTGTTCTTGTAGGAACTACATTGGAGAGGCAGATGGTGGAAAGTACATGAAACTTATAGCTGCTCATTCAGTTCTCGAACTGTCAGACAAAAAGAGTGTTGCAAAAAAGTTACAAATAGATTTAAGGTAATTGCATGTAGACAGAAAACATTCGCTAATATAGAAGAGAGGAATTATTTGGGGAGTTGGTTTTATCGTATGCGTCATACAATGGTTGCTTTGAAAAGCGCAGGGCAAAAAAATTACCTAGAACAAACTGTTAAGGAGTAATTTGAAATAAGTTGTAGTAATACTGTGGGTGCAGTAGTGAGGGGATCTGAAGATTTGAATTCGGTAGAAACATCGTATCTGAATGAACAGCAAGACGACTGAGCGAAGGAATCGCTGGTGAAACAAAAATTTTCTCAGATCCACGTCGTGGTGCAGACCTAAAAGCGCCCTAAAAGGGTAAGTTCGGACTTCGGTGAAGGCCAGATTGCCCAAGCAGCAATAGATGAGACGGCTACAATCTTGTGCTACGAAGAACCTCGCCGGAACCAAAACGAAAACCTTCAAAATATGCCATGGAGACTGTGTTTTGCTCTCCACGTGCAACACCAGGGTGCTATACTCAAATTGCGTCTTTACGCTCCTCTCCAAGCCGCTGATCGCATCAAAATCCATGTAACCGCTTAACAAGAATGAGAAAGTAAGAAGACCGATTTACGTCAACTAAGTAATCACCCATAAAGAAAAGCTACCTTCACAAAATATCGGGTAGGGGTAGACTTTGTCAGCAGCCATCGTCCATCTCGTCGATTCATGCGCGAACCTCGAAATCTATTCTAGAATCCTGAAACAGCGCAATTCAATTCCAGCTATACTCATCGTTTGCTATATAAGTCAGATCAATTGAATTCCACTAACTCAGTGATGAGTAAATACGGCAATAAAATTGATTCAAATTAAGCGGTTCCTTCCCTACAATATGAATATTTTAGGGTGTCACACTTGTTAGTGAAGGAATCCGATACTCTAACCTAAATGAACGATCAAAAATCACAGACGCCGTTCCACGCGCCCAAATGTCGATGATATTGTGGGCCGAATGCGTAATGCGAATGAAAAACAACCGATAGAGTTGTAAGAGTTGTAAGATAGAAAGCCGTTAGTGATTGGATTTTTCTGGATGTCAAGCGTACTGTAGGAACTCCACCGACCCATTGATCGTTGGCTACGGCAGTCACTAAAGGACGCTGCCTTCTCCTTGGGTGCCGTTAAATGCTGCGCTAGTTGATTTTTTATGGAATAAATGTAGCTCTAGTGAAATACAACCACAATGTTGCTGAGATATTTGCAAAACTCTGGACCGCAGGTGTCTATGGTGGGGAACGAGCGCGCTATTGTCTTTTCCGGTGAGTAACGCGTTCACCACCACACCATGCGGGTCCTTCGTTTCGCCTGTCTCTCAGCAAGTTATATTTCGCAATATACCCTACCGTCAAAAAAAAAGAGTAGGCAGCAAATAATAAGTTAAAGTTGTGATTATAACTGCAGCCTTAGCTTAACTGGGTTCGCTGCCGATGTGGGCTTCCCAGGTCAATCCCGTTGACGGGTGATTGCTGATGGCGCTGATCGATAGAACTAGATGAGAGACAGCAGAAACGCATGACCCGCATAGTGTGCTGGTAAACGCGCTACTCCCCGGAAAGGACAGTAGCGCGTTCGTTCCACACCATAGACACCTGCGGTCCAGAGTTTTGCAAATGTCTCAGCAACGTTGTGGTTGTATTTCGCTTAGTACCCTGCCGTGAAAATTGTAGTAGGCAGAAAATAAAAGACAAATCATTGTAACTCTAGCGTTCTCAAAACTTTACCAGAAGCTGTTTCTTTTTTATTTGAGCAGAGAATGCCACAGAGAAGTCTTTTAACAGTTTGGTGAGCTGGAATGGAAGGCTTAGTTGACTTAGTGTAGAGTAGCACGAGGAGCCACGCGTTTATTATTGGCTGGCATCGATAACCACTACACTTTACGTGTAAGCAAAATTCACCTTTTCTTAATGAACAGCGGCGTTTCATTATCTATTTCCTTTGCTACTTTGTAAGGTTAGGGTACAGGTTAGTGAAATAACAAGGTGAAAAGAGACGTCGAATCTCCAGCTTGTCACTTCGTACTTGCTTCTTGGCCGATCGGTGCTCATGAGACGAAAGGTTTCGTCCTGTGCTCTGATAGTTGGACATTTGTTGAGCCTAAAGACCAAGTGTTCACCACCAACTAGTCATCGGTCCTCCTCTTGGATAAGTGGGCGGCCATTAACTTGGCGTCTGGATTTCTTCCAAACCAGCTCCAGTGATTCCTGATATGCTATCCCAAGCAGAATTGTGAAAGTTCGTGGCTCACTGGTGAAATAAAGCCCTGCTTTAAATAGCAGGTTAACACTATGGAATGCCGCTCAGCGACCGTGAGCCGATAGTCATCAACGAAAGTATTTGCAATACATGTCAACTATTGATCTCCAGTTTCATGTTTCCGATGCTACATGTAACCTTATCGTTATCACTTGAAGTTGTACGTGCAAAAACGCAATGAGATCAACTAGAAGTGATTCTCATTTTCAATAATGATGAAGTGATGAGCAGCTCTACAATGGCTCACTACGCCTTCTACCAATAGACGAAGGCCGAAGCAGTGCCGGTGGCTTTTGGCTTGTATGTTTCATTTGCCATTCCTTTCGTTTTACTTCAATTTCGGCCTCAGCGCTTTCATAACAGTTTTTTTTCGAGTAGTAAAAGGATAAATTGTTCGGCTTTGGTCAATCTCTTAGGAAGAAGTTGCTGTTTTCAGTTCATATAGATGCAAGCGGAAATCCCTCACAGCTTTATAGAGTTCAAATTAGTGGCAGAATACAGACGATTAAAATTAGCGATTTGATCTAAAATGTTGTCAATTATCTGAAAATCTTACGTAGATATTCCAACTTACTGAAATTTTTGCGTAGAATCCAAATCGTGCCCCCACTAAACAAAGCGGGACGGTGAAAGTTGAAGATTCAGACAGAAGCCTACGACAAGCTCAAAAACAAAGAAGGCGTGAAATAAGATTAAGCTAACGTCGACAATCACTACCGCTTCGGAAGAACCTAGTGACAAAGAGGTTCCTTCCCAAATGGATCAACGAGTTTGTGTGGTCTGGTCCTGCAGGAACACTGTCGTGTGTATTTGTAGGTGTACCAGGGAAGAATTACTGCCTTTTGGCCGAATAGACTCGCAGAATGCAATCTACGTAAACTAGAACGCACCCACGGAAGCGTGCACGAATATGCCTCGTATCATCATATTCAGTGGAAATAATGAAAAATAGAAATCCTCAGAATGGCGGCGAGGAGCAAATATCATCACTCAGATTTCGTCGACAATGTTGTCCAATTTCAACCGCTATCAATAATTTCAGTCGTACGAGTGGCGTACGGAAGAACACCGAGAGAAGTACTCTTCGTGTGGTTCTCATAAATGAGATCGAGGATCTTTCTGTTTGTGGTTTGATTCTATCCTGGTTATGTGCGAAAATTTATAAGCTGTTCGTTGGTTATTCCTATTTCCAGCCAGATCTTCTGCACAGCTCTCACTCCAACCTCGGTTCGTTACAAGTGGGATGGATATCCGCGACGAAAAAGTTGAAGATTAAGAATGATGACACTGCTAGATGAATTCTATTCAGCGTGTGGACCACACTGGTAATTCGTTCTGGTTGCAAAGAGACAGATACAGGCACAAAACACAAAATCATTCAAACCCACACACAAACCTGCCCACATGGATAGCTCCACCCCTACATGAAAGCATGCATTATATGAATTACACACATAACATACATTACAATACATACATTACATACAACATATACCTACCTACATGCAGAACAACAATACATACATACATACATACATACATACATACGTACATACATACATACATACATGCACACATAGATACATACAAACATATATCACCTGTAGTCCAGTTTATCATCGAGTGACTCGAGTGGGCGCCAGTAAATCGTCCATTTTTCTCTGTCGCGTGCAAGAGTAGGCCATCATGGACAGCGCTTTTGTGAGATTTAGTCGAAGACCAATCTTTCCACAGGGTTTATCAAAGTCGTCAAACTTACGTTTTGCTTGGCTAATGTTTGGTGTTATAAAGACGATGTCATCAGCAAAGCGAAGATGGTGTAACCGCTGACCTTCGATTTTCACACCCATATTATCCCATTCCAATGTTCGCATGACGTCTTGGAGGGTGGCGGTAAATAATTTTGGTGAGATGGTATAACTTCCTCAAAAGAGGAGTTAGGCAAGGCTATACCATCTCACCAAAATTAGCTTCGGTGCGAAGCTTCGGTGGGATTTGCGTATGCCTTTCCCACCCTCTGCAACTTCGGCCATTACTGCTACTCTTCTCTCTCTAAGATCTTTTATCGCCTGTCTCCATTGTTTTGAAAGCTCGGACGTTACTTCGCTGTTGCCTGCAGCTCGTGCGATTCCACGTTGGCTTATCAGCTCGAGTGTTTCTGGAGACAGGAGTCTCTTGGTGACTTTTGAATTCTCAGCTTTCATTGCGCTAACGTGAAGATGTTGAATGAACCATTCGTGTTCCTCGCCGATGTTATCAACAACGGCATCTTTCCAACACTCGACTAATGAATTTAATAAGTCCTAGTTTATGGTGGTTCTGGGACTTCGGTTTTTCAATTTATCATCTTTTTCTTCTTTCCGCGAGAAATAGAACCTTTCACAAAGGAGACGATGGTCTGATCCCGTGTAGGAATTTGGGACAACAGCGACATCGGTTGGGGAAAACCTTCCATTTACTATGGTGTGGTCTATTTGGTTGTGGTACTCTCCATTAGGAGACTCTCTCGTCCAGCTTTGAGGGTGGCGCTTCTGTAATTGCGAGTTACTATGGATTGTATTGGTCGCCATGATAAACTCAGATAGCCGCTCACCCTATTCGTTCCATTCTAATCCGTGGGTCCCAATGTGACGTTTTTCAGACGTTCTTCATGGTCCAGTCTTCGCGTTGAATTCTATGATAACCTTGAAGAATATGTGATTTTCTCTGTAGAACTTCTCCAAGTCCATATAGAACGCTTGCACTTCTTCTTCGCCATAGTTCGATGTTGGGGCGTAAACAACGAAGATTGTCAAAGCCGGTATTGATCCACATCTCTTCAGTCGTAAAGGTCTAATTCCGCTTGTAAGTTGTTCGAATGAGTCGATGTTCATTAACAAATTTGTGTTGGCGAAAACGCCGACGCCGCCGACTCCTCCACTGTCTTATGTTCCGAGGAACAGTTCTTCTCTGCTGTCATAGACGGGGTTGAAAGGCTGGCGAGTCCTCGTCTCGGCCAGGCCGATGACGCTGTACCTTATCCTTCTTGCTTGCATGAGCAAGTCTTCTATCGAGAACTCGGATTCAAGTGTATCTGCATTGTAGGTACAAATCGTCACCATAGTGCTTTGTAATCCAGGCAGCTTCCGTTGGCCTTGAGATTTTAGTACCCTCTCCGTACTCATCCTACCCAACGCTGCAAAATTGGGGGCTCTTTCGGGGTCAGGGGAATCATGCCCGTTCCTTTCACTGCGTTTATCATTTTTTGATACCCACGTATACCTTGCTGGGCTGTGAACGCAGGTGCTGGGTTCATTCACAGGTAGCTTGCCAGGCTCTCCCAGAGTGGTCATGGAGTTTTTTGTTGGAGGCGACTCCTAACTGCTTCCCATATACTTCCCTGTCACATGGTTGCATGCTTTTGGCCGAATAGACTCGTAGAATACAATCCGCATAAGCAAGAACGGACGCACACGCGCATGCATGAGTATGCCTATCAAATACAGAAAGTAAGTGCCAAATGAGCGCAGCAGAAACAGGGAATCCATCCTCTGGATCCACCTGCGTCTCAGAGTAGCGAAGGTCGCTTTTGGTCCGCGATTAACCCCTTATCCAGAGGCGCACCACGTAGCCTTGCGACTAACCGGCTCGAGATCCCTCATATGAGGGAGACCCGTGGTATGAAAAAAAAGTAGAAGTAGATGAAAAGCTAAACAAGCGAAGAGTTGTAATTTCTACTGCAGCTTCGGCTTAACTGGATTCAATGTCATTTTATGCTCACCAGATCATTCGCGTTGACGAGCGATTACTGATGGCACCGTTAAGATAAAAATCTGCCTAAGTAAAAACAAAGATGAGGCCTCGATGGCGCAGCAAAATGCGAACTCCCAGAAATAGTGTTCACGGGTTCGAAGCCCTCCTAGGGTTTAGAGCTTTGCAAATATTTCACCATCATTGCGGTTGTTTTCACGAAGCGTCCTGCCACTGAAAAAGTAGGCAGCCAATAAATAGTTGGATGAGCAAGAATGGCCATGGTAACTCAAAATTGTACAACCCCTCTCTGAACACTGGATGTAGAATTTTCCTAAGAGAGAGTACCATAATGGAATGGACCATAAAATACCGGAATAAAGGTTTTGTCTAGCTGATATCTCTACTTGTCACGGAAAAGAAAGATTGTCGTAGAGTCTAAGAAGCGAAATCCGAAAGCTAGTGTGAGCTGGGATTTATTTAGTTCATAAGACCGGCTGACTCAACCTCTTCAAGCTGGCGCTTTTAAAATCAAAAGTCCGAAAGTGTCCAATGAACGTCTGTCTCCGGAAACACTCGTATAAGGTAATCTGGAATCTCAAAAGCCGCAGGCAATGGATAATTCACTTTCGAATGTGCAAAACACGACAGAAAGGCGACAGGTTCTTAAACAGAGAAAAGTTCCAACGATGGCGGAAGCTGCACAGGCTGGAAACACTACTCGCAACGTTCGTCTAAACTTCGTCAATTGCAAGACAACGAACTAGTTAGAGCTTATAAAAATGCTACGGAGAAAATCGTTCACGACAACTACTGTGATCATTTCAATAGCCACACCCTTCCAACCCTTACATGAAATTTAGGAAGAGGATCGATATGTCGTCCCAGCGGTTTTCGCTTTCGCCGTCCGATATGCTATTTCAATGTTGGTGAACGAAAATATACCTAGTCCAAATAGAAAAGGACCTAAACACCTACTTACTTTTACTTACTCAGGATGTTAAATGCACATTGGGAAGACTATTGACTCGTTGATCAGATTACCTCACAAGGAATCTCGCTTAATTATATGATGCGAGCTCTTGGACCAAGCAGAACACAGGAGGCTACTCTTGCAAGGGAAAGTGACAAATCAAAAAAATATCAGCGCTTGCTTAATAAGTCGAAGACCAACAGGATAACGAGTGAGAGAGGTGATAGAAAAAATGGACCGATAGCCCGACATTATTTCGCGAAGCGGCTCACAGGAATGCAACGATAAAAAAGTCACAACACATTTTTGCTTTAACCACAAAATTTTATTGCTTTTAAGAACTGTTAGTGAGTCGGAAACAATGCCGAAGCAGCTGCTAAGAGTGGAAAAGAATATAGTTGTGCTTAAGTGGGATTAAGTCATTTATGGAAACTCATGATGCAACCATGACGTTACCAATCTATTTTTTAAATTGCTCATGCATACGACCCGACTTCACATTCTGTGCATTTCATAGCAGCTCTTTCATTCGTTTCGTTGCCACCCATCCGTTATCCATAAAGTTCTCTAGATTTGTATTAGTGTTCATCCAACACTTGTAAAACTGTCTTCTTCATGAACATCTTTAAATGATGGTAGAGTTAGTTTTTTTGGATTTTGCAAAAAGGAGATGTCTCTTCACAGACAAGTCCGGCAGTGATTCTCTAATCCCGTGTAGATGAATGACTTGGTTAATCTGAGGCGGTGTCGAATCAGCGGATCGTATGTGCACTTCAAGGCATTCCTAAGTATTGCTCTTCCAGCTCCCATAATACGATGCTGGAGAAATAGAAACCAGTGATCACAATAGCAGCTGAAAATTCTTTGTAGATAAAGCACTTTCTAGATTAATCAACTGTCGCAATCAAGAGAAACCATTATCATAAACAACGATTACGAGGGAGAGAAACTAATGAAAAGTGTGCTGTGTATCGCACCTCTTGTGAAAGTGGTCTGCCCAACTGCCACGCAATGGATGATGTGCTTTCCACACAATCATAAGAACCAGTATGATCAATATAGGCGTTATTTGCTTTGAGATGATTTATTTTGGCACATAGAACGTTTTTGTTGTAATTCTTGTAATTGATCGATAGCGTATGTCTTATCTGGCCCATATGCTGTAGCACGTGTTGCCGGGAAAAGTCCTATTGTGCACCTCGAAATATACAACAAGTCTTTCCTGAAAGGAGTTCATGAACTGGTAATTTGAGAGACAATTGATTGCTATCCGAATTTTAGTCGCTAAAGTTATCGTCTCAGATTATATGGTATGAAAAATACACAAACAGACTCAACATAAGCTACAAAATCTTTCCACATGCTGACAATAGTGTGTTTGTAAAAGTCTACCATGGCAACGTATAGCAAACGGTAGAACGCGTAATATTCATGCCCATAGTAGATAGAGCAGAATCCTTTTGATAATTGTACTATGTTCTCAACTCCTCAAGTCCTCTAGTTAGTGAGAAATTATCGTCTATGTCTTACCACCGCCTACTCCTTCTTCATAGTAGGGTACTATTTTAAATACAACTACTATGATGCTGAGATTTAAGCAGAACTCAAAACCTAGGTAGGGCTTCGTGCCCCGATTACCCTTGCCGTAGGCTAACGCACTATTCGCCACACCAAACAAGGCTGTTGCTTGTCATTCTGACGTCTATATTGAGAAGACCAACAAAGACCCGTAATGGCTGAAAATTGGGCGTAGTTCCATACGGTAGGGATGCTAAAAACTGCTCGAGCTCTGTGTGTTACTCAAATAAATTAGTTTTCTTACTTTCATCCAGTGTTCTACAAGGTAGAATACGGCAAGAGCTCTTCTACGGCAAAAAGAAGAAGAAAATAAAAAAATACTAAGAGTAGAGTAAGTTACCCCATATTTACTAGTGGTTCAGCAAGTGTGATCTACTTGTTTAGCCTAAAAGAAATATTTTCCGGCCCACGAAAACCTCGACGTAAACGTTCAAATTGGCCCATCATAAGGTGTTTCTATTCAGAACCGAAGTTTTCACAGAGAACCACGAGAATAACTATTCTATAAAGAAAATAGAAGCATGCGAACACATGTGGCTTGGAAACAACTCAATTACCGAAATTACCAATAAATCTGGCATTTGCGCCAAGCCT